GGGGGGTTGGGGGTGGACATACATGACCGGCAAACATTCTGCCTGAAATGGTATGTCCTCTAATGTATGACGTAGGATAATATACTGACTCATCGAATAGAAAGACAAAGAACAAAGTGGGGGAAAAAACCTTCAAGTGCGAGTGACATCCCGCTGGGAAGATCACAAGAACGCCAAGGCAATTAGACAAATGGCGCCCTTGGAATGACTTGGTTTTAATTCTCTATCTGACCAATACTTTTCAGACCATTGGATTCAAGGATTCTCTGCCTTATAGCTACAAGATGTTGGCACCTTATTCGTAGAGCGTCAAACTGAAAAATATAGGTCAGAGTGTCTTGAGCCTTTGACAAATAAATTTCTAATACGTTTTGAGAGCGATTTGTTATGCGCTATGTATATCAGTTGAATGAACTCCCCTGTAGTCTTTCACCAGGCTCCAGTATAATTTACGAGTCAAAAAATAAAGAGGGGGGCTGATGAAAAAAACCCACATGTAATACGTATATTATATTATAGTACAAAGGAAATCAACTGGGCAAAGAAACATAAAAGAAATCACCCACCTCCAGAACTTTATATTTACTTTGGTCTTTTGTCTCTGCCTTCTTTTCTCTTTTCGTCTAACGGACTTCTTGTAAATGGTTTTCACAAATACTGATAAAGTTTAGAGTATTTAGGAGGCAGGTTAATTCGACCTGACATATCAGGGCCAATCTGGGTGGAGTGTAATACAACATTCGAGCTGCAAGTACAGAAATATTTTACAGACTCAACAGACTGACTTTGGAACATGAGAATCGAACCCATGCCTTTAGCATACAATAGCGAAGAGGTATACATTTTCACCACAGACGCCTTCACCCCTCGTCTGTATCCAAAGCAAGGAAACACGTAACATGCTTTGAGAATGAGCTTTCGTTTGTTTTCTGGGGCATTTATTCCGTCAGACAAACGCGTTTCAGTATAATAAGGGTTTGCAGGCTTTCCTTCACGCCAACCCGCGGTGAACGGGATATAATATCCCAACAGAAAGACATAGATACTCAACAGAAACCTTACCTGTTCGGAACTGAGCTCACGCCTTTTGTGGGCACGTCGAAAAGCCAACCATCATGCCAAAGACACCGGCAAGGCAAACGAAAACCAAACAAACAGAACAAACAAGTTAAACACATTGCTACCAAAACCTAATTCTTCTATTTTTTTCCTCCTTGACCAGTGGCCAACGACATGCAGGATCTGTCAGACCAGGTGGGCATGACCCAAGAGAACGTGGATCGGCTGCATAAAGCCTTCGAGGCAGCTGTGGAGGGCGACGAGAGACCTCTGCTGGACATGGGCATGTCGGAAAGATCATGGCACGAGGTGAGTTTTAACTTGAACCATTGGCAATTCATTCATTATAGCGTCACATAGACTTGAATTATAATAAATCAATACCCCAGACTGGGCATTGTTATGCCCGCCGCTCTTTGCTGTCTACAAAACCATCTCTGCGCTGGTGAGCGCCATGTGCGCGCAAGTGAAAGGTAAATCACCAATCTCGCTGCAGTCAGATGTGTGCACTTGCCTCTTGCACTTCTTTTGGTTGAAAACAGAATCGAATGATGTATTCCATAGTGAACCGGACTTACGTCAGACTACGCAAGTCTATGTCGAGGTACCACCAGCAATCTAGGCGTAGGTGTTTTTAATATTTTGACGCTTTATGCTCCTGACTTTCAATTCGTCTTTGGATTTTGTGTGTATGATTACGACAAGCCTATGTCTGTAAATTTTAACCGGGAATTTACGCCCGCGCTGTTTTGTTTTTTGTTTAGATTTATTTGCTTGTTACTTGACTTATGTTTATTTCTATGATTTGTATATAGATTGTTGTACTGATTTATTTATTGATTGAACGGGAAGTGTGGTGTTTCTTCTACTTTCTTGTCGTTTCTAAGACTGTTGTTTATTGCCTTGCGTATTTCTATCTGATAGGATGAAAAGGGGGGGGGGGGGGGGAAAGAGGGAAAGGGGGGGGATGCAATTTTGATAAGGTCGAAATGGGCTTTTTTTATTTCATAAGTTTTGCTAGAAATGTCACACTGTTGAAAACCTGGACAATGGGGATACACGATATACTAAAGAAACCCTCGCTCATGTCCATACATAATGAACAGGGACACCAAAATGTTTCACTTCTTGCTTCTGTTTGTTATCTGTGTCCGTCCCCAGTGGGTCTACTGAGGCTGGGGTGATGTCCACTTTTAGGAGATGTCTCTGACGCTGGTTATCTTTGTTTCTCTCCAGGTTCAGTACGTGCTACAACAGTTGCTGGACAGCGGGTTCAAGCTCTAGGAGTTCGCCCGACGGTTGGAGGTCTAAGGCACAAAACAGCTTTCTGACTTCTAGAATTCCAAAAACAACAATATTGTTCCAATAAAAGAAAGCATGTGAATGAAACAGAAATGGATTTGTTTACATCTTTACCGTAGACTAGTAAATACCCAAGTTAAAGTTTTACATTTGAAAGATAGTTCCTTTCTTGTGAGAGGACATATTTCATCAGAATTGTATTTCCTTAATCGGATGTTCTACTAAAAACCGGATAAAAATCAATACATTTCTTTTTGGGGGTGAATGCGTGTGCTTACGTTGATATGTACTCTTTGAAACAACCCATTATTATATCATCATTCCATTTGTCCATGCACTTTGCGAGTTACGTTCATAATATTTAATCTCTAATCTCCAGTAGTCCATGCTGTCGTTTCTACAAGATGCTGTTTGTTTACCGGAGAGAGGCCTATCCATAGAGATTTTTTTTTAATCGATTCAGAAGCAGATTTTAGAAATATTTAAGTCTATTCAGAGTTGTGTAGTAAGTGGAACCGCGGTTAAACAAATCTCCCGTATAGCTAATAGTTACAATAGAGAACGCGCTTTTTCTTGTCGATAGGCTTACTGTTCCTCTTTTACTTTACCTTATTTATTCCCTCTTACGTAATGAGCAAATGTAGACTAAAAACGCTCCGGATAGATCTGAATGGCTCAATGTTTTCATTCTATTGAAGACTAGTCGTAGATATTCCATATCTGCAGAATTATTTGATTGTTACAACGCGAGTACTGGTATGACTATATGCCAACATTACATACACCTTAGTCAAGGACACACCCAGCTGTGTAGTGGAAATATCTATTCTTAAACAAAACTGAAAGTAGGTGGTATTTCCCAGCCATCCGACCACGAATGTTCACTGGTATCAGCATGATATTATTATACGATATATAGCACTGCAATACCAGCAAGGGAATTAATTGAGAATATTCATCCACGCCACTAGTGTGTTAGCAATATGACTTGTCAAGCAAAAGGAGCGATTCGGGCCCAATGCAGCACACTTATACCTGCGACATTGGGACAGAGAAGGCACTGGTATATAACTAGCAGTATGGGAGATGTTTTACTGTTAAAATGTTCATTCTTTAGAAACAATTGTGCATCGGAACGAGGGGGGAAAACGCTTTTGAGAACATCCTGCAATATCTGGAAGTAGCAGCCAGGGTCGCCTTCAGAAGTGTAATTGTCTATAAGAATTAGCCACACGTCTTAAATTACTTCAAGTACTTGGATCGTGTAAATAGGCACGGTGTGTGATCAGTTTTCTTTTTGTAATGCAGTCAATGCCAGTGCAAACTGAAATGATATATAAGAATATTAATTCAGTCGCTCAAATTCTAAATTACCAATATTAAATTAAACTGTACTTAAAGTGGCTGTTTCTTCGTACAGCGCGGCAATAAAGCTTTCTAGCGTACACAATTCGTTTCAAATTTATCAAATAACACACACACACACACACACACACACACACACTAA